AGACCATAAAGTCCTCTTATCCCCGGAACCAATTAACCCATTGAACCAGAAGCAACTGAAAGACAATTTTGAATGTTTAGGGTACCAGGGCCATTACCCTCCTTCGGCGAAGAAAAATTGGAGCCAGATTAAGAATTGTTTTTTTTTTTTTTTTGAATGACTACAACAAGAATTCAGAAAACAACTCAGAAAGACCCCCATCAAACCTCTTTACCTCACTCCGGCCAAGACTGACTGCAGCAGAGCCACCATCTCCGCTGCTGCTATACCCTACTCCCATCCTACCAGCTAGCCCCCTCAATAGTAGGACGCGTGATATCCCACCATTTCCTTCTCCCACCCACCTTATTCTGTTTTTAAGGTACCTAAGAACACTTACAGTAATTCAGGGAGCATGAGAATAGGCCGCAGAGGTCCTGCAAATGTTCCAAAATTTCAAAATCCCTCACAAACCCTTCCAAAGTCCTCCAAAACTGTCTTACTCCCTGCCGAGCTCTTCCAGGCCTCACACCCCCACCCCAAAGCATCCCCAGATCTCTTTACCAGGCCTCACGCTCCTGCATTGCAGGTTACAGGGCAACTCCCCAGCACCGGCCAGCATCGTTCTGGCATCGAACAACCGCAGATCACTGAGTATAACAGCGCCGAAGCCACCTTAGGATGAGCTAGTAGGAATCCCATAGTCCTAAAAACATTCCAGGACCACCAAACGACCAACTCTTGTTGAGATTTTCCTCATGAGATTTATGAGAGCGGGGGGGAGGAAACTAAAAGTGCCTACTATCCTAAACTCCCCCCCTCAACAGACGGAGTGTCGGTCCAGGCTTTCAGTCCTCGTACCAGAACTCACTTGATCTCATACCCCCTTCTGCTAGGGTAACAGGGCACCACAACCCTCCCCAGTACCGACCAACCTAGTTATGACGGACCGGAAGTGCCTTCCTCCCTCGACAATTCCCTTAGCGGCAAGCCCCTAAACAAGTTACAGGGTCAATAGCCCGGCGCCGACCACGTCGGACTGTCTGGTTATGCGTTCGGCATAACTTCACAGGCCTCAGGCTCCCCCTGGGTCACATAGCAAAAGCTCCAGCATCGGCCTGTGTCGTCCCAGCATTGTCCTTCTAACCTACTTACCCTAACCGACAACCTTCCTCTGTTGAGAACCCCCTTACTACCTTCCATCGTCCAATTCTAGCTTCCCCCCATTCTGCTCACTATGTGGCCCTCGAAGTTATTCCTTCCCTCAGACAGCAAGATCACCTTGTGAGACCCTCACGGGGAGGGGCTCCAGACCTAAAGGAGAACCTCACAGAACACAGAGACACACAACAAGCCGCAATTATACTAACCGAAAAAAGCCAATCCGAGTCACGTTTTACCGCACGATACACAAGACCAGGAGGTTGAGAGTTAGCCGACTTGGATTTTTTTCGAATAGAAAATACTTCAGAAGCCTAATTTGGGAAATCTATCTGAACCATCTTCTGGAATTTAGACTTGGAAAAAGCGATTTAAGAAATTCATCTAGGATGTCCATTAGTGGACTCACAAATATCTGAAACCATCTTCTGGAATTTAGAATTGGAAAAAGCAATTTAAGAAATTCATTTAGGATGTCCATTAGTGGACTCACGAATATCTGAAGTCATGAAATAGTCCAAACCGTAGTTGAGGTCATTGATAAAGAGAACAAACTATATGGCAAGGAACATACTCTTGAATAAGAGTTGCGCAAAAAATGACTACGAGCGATACTCAAGAATTATCAAAGAAACAAAAGAGAACTATCGAGTTGATCATCGAACGAGTACAAGATCATACCAATCAATCAGCCTAGAAAAAAACAATCAAGAATCATGAATCGAAATCCCAAGTTATTATCCATGGAACACAACATGATTAAAAAGCTTGGTTACAAGGGCATTAGTGGATTTCAAAGCCACGCGTGGGTTAGATTCCAAATCGACAAAACAGCCCCCTATCCCTTCTTCCTCACCCCACCACTTTCCTCCCACCCCTCGAACCCTACCGCTGCGTCTTTGGGGGAGGAAAGACTCGCTTCCTCCCACTGCTAGCTTTTCAAGCTCAAGGCAGAGCTAACACCAAAGACATGAACGACCATCTTCAATTCCGTCTAGGAAACAAAAACAGTGTGGCACTCCCTCGCCAAGCCCGTTGACAACTCGCCACAGGGGGTTCAAAAAACACCCTAGCTAACCACTTACCGTACAGCTGAGGAAGAGGGAAGGGTTTCACCTACCGCATCGCCTTTTCCACCCAACCATGGCTTACTTAGGTAAACTTACCTTCCGGACTATAGACTGAGCGGACAAAAGTCGAGTAGATCGTTAGGACAGCCATCGATATGAAACGCAGCTGAAGAAGAGGAAGAAGACCGATGATTCGCCGCAACACTCCCCATGATGGTCATGCCGACCTTCACACCGCAAAAAGCCGACTATGAAGACGTACTTTTCTTCACCCCATCTCCCACCACCGCACCACTCTTCCAGCATCGTCTCACCGCCACTCTATCCGCCGCCCATGCCAACATGCAAGCGCGCCTCATCACGCCATCTCCTACCACCGCGCCACTCCTCCAGCGTCGTCTCACCTCGACTCTACCCGCCGCCCATGCCAACGTGCAAGCGCACCCCGCGTCAACCGGGTAGTCCCAGTCTGGTCGGGCGCAGCGCTCCCGATAGCGCTGCGCCCAAAAGGCCGTCTCCGCTAGAGCTCTACCTAGGAGAGAAGTCCCCCTATCCCTGCCCCTAGCCTACAGCCCTGCCCAACAGCAAAGCAAAGCACTATGGTCTCCGACTACTTGACCCTCCACTACACTGTATCCCTGTTTGTGTCCCACTGTGTCCTTGACCAATATCGACCTTCTGAATCTCTTTCTTGTGACAGCTCAGCTCAACCTACTGTGCTACGACATCAATCGGTCTGTATGTACGCTGTGCCTGGCTGGGGGACAAGCACGTGGGATTCCAATCTAACTCCAACTGATTATCTGTGGGGGAAGCTGAGGCTTGACAAAATGCCTGGCTGGGGGATAAGTACATGGAATGGCAAACTAGCTCCAACTGGTTATTTGTGGGGGAGGCTGAGGGTCCACGAAATTGAACCCGCAACCTCCCCATCGCAACACCAGAGCTTTACCCACTGAGCTACCATGTCGTGGAGTCTAGTGGGGGATGCTCTCGACACCCTCAAACGTAACCCAAGCCTTCGTTCTGGAAACAAAAAGAAAGTTCTTGTGGATTCACCCTTGCCTGAGAACAATTAAATTTGTCTGAGCAGGGTGCAGAAGTTTTGGTGGAGGTATTAGTTGGCAGCTCAGTTGGTTAGATCTCTGGCATTGCAACGGGGAAGTTGGGCATTCGATTCTATCGCCCCTCAACCGCCCCTGCACACGATTCGTTTGTGCTAGGTTGGCACCCCACGTACTTGTCCCCCACCCTAGTACAGTGCATACACAGGTCAGTTGATGCAGTAGCTCAGTGGGCAGACGTAGGGGCTGTAAGGAAGAGGTCCAAGGTTCGATTCCGAATGGCCCAATGCATATCATATAGTACTGAGATAGCTGGGGTGAAGGGGATGGGCCAGGTAGGCCTTGTGGAGTGGATGATCAAGTAACTGGTTACCTTGTGGGGGGGCAGGGCCGCAGGTGGGATGGGGAAGGGGGGTCCCAACAGCTGGGGCCTTCTGGGGTGTCAGAGGCCTTGGTGTTGATCCTCCGTCAAAGGGAGTGGGGCTTTCTGGGGGGTTAGTGACGGCCTTGGATGGGTGTTGATCCTGCCTCGGAGGAGTGGGCTCAGTGGGGCTTTCTGGGGGGGTAGCGACCGCTTGGGGGGGCCATCTGGGGGTTTGAGTAGTAGTGGGATTGTCTGCTTCCAAAATTGAAAAATAAACCAGAGTAGGTCCGGTCGATGGCAGAGGTATGGGAGCAGATGGTGACCCCTACCCTACATCATGATATCTTTTTCTTGAATTTTTCCTGATGGTGATTCTGATCTTCGTGTTATAGATGTTGGCTCATGTTTTATGGCATTTCACTTTAAGAAAAAGTTTGAAAAAGTTAGAAAACCCAATTCCACAGAGAATTATTCATGGAATCACTACGGGAACTGCTCTGGGTGATGACAAGACACAGCTACAAAGACTGGAAGGAACTACATGTAGTTTGATGATCGGGGTATGGGGGCATATATAAGGTGGCTGTGTACCGACTGGTGATATACAACCTATCACGACCAGAACAACAACAGTGAGACTTCACGCAATTAGAGAGCAGGATAATGGACGACTAAGGTAAGGGGCGGATGGTGGTGGCACATCTACTGATAATAGGGTAGAACCTATATGTCATAGTCAAAACAATAGCAGTACAACTTCAAACAGTGACTGGAGAGGGGTCTAGTGAACAATTAAGGTAGAGGGGGTGGATGGTGGCTGTAGCTCCTGATGATAGGCTAGAAGCCTAGAACCTCTAGGTCATATTACAACTAGAATAATTGATAACAGTTGTGCTAGGTGGGTATACCCAGGCTGATCAGGGGGTGTCATAGGTTAGACCTGGGCAAGAAACAGTGTAGGTTGTACCTTGGTAGGGCCCAAGCCCTCTCCTCTCCATGATTTCCCTAAAGAAGACAGTAAAGTCTCCCCCCCCCCCGTGTATGCCAATATAGCCGTCAATGTTCAAAGTTTACGTGGAAATTCACAAACAATCAAGAATGTTGAAGAAACAGTGTTTATTGAACTTCATTCCATGCATGTGAATCTCACCTCTTATTAACTCTCTCTTCCACAAGGTTTGAATTTGAAGTCCTCCCACTGTTCCCCCGCTCCCCCTTCCTCCCCTCCTCCCCCATCCCTCAGGAAAGCCTTTGACAATCATAGCTTGACACCAGGGTGAGGAGACCTAGTCAAAGGTTGATCAGTGCATAAGAGGGGCTGGTGGTGGTCATAGGATGGGGAAGAGGGAGGGAAATCCTGACCGTTCATCGGGATTGTATGCCAAAAGCTTGTTGATTAGCTCAACACATTCTGGCTGTGCATGAGGAATGAGCTTTTCAATTCCACTACCCTCTTTCGGTGGAAAGCTGAAATCCATATGCTGTGACCTCCTGAGAGTCATATGCACAGAACCAATTCAAGCAGGGAGTGGTGTGAACACCAGTCGTCGAACTTGACAAGACGCGTCATTGTTGTCGATACAAGAACAAGAATGGCAACGATTCATCAATAATGATCCCAGTCGACTCTTTGTTGCAACAAGCAGCCATGCCATATCTTGCATCAAAAACTTCCACATCTCATAGCCAGGGAAGAATCCAAGATGCCTGAAAGATGTACACCTTCAGCACCAGCCTTTGGCCAGACAGGACCCACCCTGTCGATGTCAAACAAGGCTCGAAATACAGGGGTTAGGGCAATCTCTCAGAAATTCGGAGATGAGAGAAGGAGGACCTGTCCACCTGAATTTGCCCGATCTAAACCACGATAGGTGGTCCTAGATGCAGGCTCTAGTCCTGGTCTAGTGACCTGGCACAAAAAACAGCTGGCCTGGGTCCCTACCGGACGCCCAGGCAGCCCTGCTGATATAGCAGGGCAAGTCCAGAAACCGACAAGGGCAGGACAGTCACTACTGCACAAAACCAGGTCCAGCCCAGATGCGGATGAAAGTCTTCTGGGCCGGAAATGGCCGAAATGTGGAAAGGTGTACCTCTACTGGTCCGACCAGGCTCAAGTGCTGCTTCGGACAAAACGAAGTCCAAAATGGCCTGTCCTAGACCAGACAAAACCTGGAGCAGACGAAAACTCTCTGAAACAAACTGTCCAACTCTCACAAGAATCAGAAGAGTCCTTTGGGACATCCATTAAAATGGGAACGATTCAGAGAAGATTAGCATGGCCCGTGTGCAAAAACAAAGATTTTTTTTTTGGGAAGAAGCTGAAAATAACTCAGGCAGCATCAAATACACACACCAGGCCCAGAAAGTGTACCACAGCCCTCAGGGCCACCCAACAATAAGGGTCGTGTGCCCTGGGGGCCTAGGAACTGAGATTGTGCCCCCTTTAGGCCCAGGAGGAGGCCTCGTGCATGCTACCAGGTTGAGTAATTCCTTATTCCACTCGTATCTCTTGAGCTCTAAGACTTGCAAACAATTGTTGGAGTTTGTTTTGCACCTTGTCTGAAGTTGAAGGTACGGGAATGGGTCTGGTTATTCACAGTCAATGTACGTACAAAGTGGTTCATAAGAATATTAAACCATCAGTAGTTTCGCAAGTTGCGGCTCGTTAACGGCCAGCCAAAAGAAAAGAACGTGACATTTCCACTTGAATGAATTTAGACCAGCGCCCCAGGCCCGTTTATCACAGCACGTCGTGGCTTTTTTTTGGCCACGACTTTCGGAAGTACTTGTGGTTTAATCACTTCAGATGCCAATGAACAAAATCACTCACTCCAATGCTCACCCCTTTACCATCATGTACACTTTGAATGCCGCTGTTTGACAAGTATTGGAGACACGCCATTGGGATGTATCATGTATGTGATCATATGGATGGAATAGAGACGTGGTTGGGCCTTGGTATTTCTGGAGAGAGATTACTAGGACCGTCTTGGTCAATCCTGGGGTAATTTAGATTATGGGCATAGAAGATCGTCCTTAAACCGCCAGTACATCAAGCAATCGGCCGCGGGCCCTTTTCGGAGGCCGCCCACCGCCGATTCAATTCATCGACGGTGCTGGGCCTCCGAAAATTTCTAGGCGACAAGTTTTCTTTTCAGCAAGGCTGGGGCCATGTACTGGCGGCTTAACGCTTGACTTCCTCTCCTGGACTGGGTCTGATGGTTAACTTTCTCAAGACTAGAAAAAAAAAAAGACCACGAGCATTCTAGAAGGGATCTATTCTGGCCTACAGGCTTCCAGACCAGAACCCATACTGGTTGGAACCATTTTGACGAAAGGGTAGGTGCCTTGATTTTTGACATTTTGCACGCTTGACCCACACATTTTGGACTTGACAGACAGGCCCTACCAGACCTTGCCCTATTATGCTGACTGCCCTGTGCACTTTCTTTGTTTTTCGGTTTCACACACAAGTATACATGCCCCGTCTACTCGGGGGGACAGCAGTTCGGTTGCTCTGTACTGGCAAGCAAAAGTTTGACAGCAAGACAAGAACAGGAAGAAGAGAAGAGATGAACCAGAAAAGGGAGCCATTCCTCCCTGGCTCTAAACACCTAGGGGGTGCCCCCCGGGGGGGGGGGGGGGGGGGGGGGGGGGGGGGGGGGGGGGGAGAGGGGGGTGCTGCTGCTATTGGTGTTGGTTGTGAAGGTCTAGGCCCCCTTCCTCAGCCCTTGCCGAATCAGGGTGAGATATCACCACCCTGTGTATACTATTTCATCTCGAAGGGTAGGCTAAAAAGGGGTCCTTCCATTAAACCACCAGTACCTTTCCCCGCTTGGTTTTCAAAGTCGCGCTGGGTAATGCAGTGGCCGAACGGGGCCGGGCCGCCGTTGACAAATTCAATCGGCGGCCCGTTTTCGTTTTCGGCCTTTTTTTTTCCGACCGTGGCCGATATATGGGAAAGGTACTGGTGGTTCAATAAGCGAGAATGTCTGTACATGGATTGTCGAAGTTTGCCAGTCAAATATTTCCAAAATGAGGAAATGAGAGACACACACACACACAAAAAAAAAAGAGAGACGGACATACACACCAGCGGAGGACCAACACAATGACCAATGAGAAGAAAGAGCAGGAAAAAGGAGAAGGTTGTACATGTGCACACAAAGGAGACACAGAAAAAAAACAAACAGACAGGCCGACGGATGGTATAGATGGGCCCTTGGGTTGACTGGTGAGGGGAGTAAAACTTATTTCATGCAGTTTATGCTCATCCTTCACTCATTGCCAAGGATAGATGAAATAATACCTCTTCATCTTCTCAAGAACCTCAGGTGGGGGTGTGCCCAGTATGTTGTGGATCTTGTGTATCTGGTCCAGCTCATTTGTTCCTGGCCACTCCATGGAAATGCCACAGCAGACATCACGGTGATCCCGGACGGATACACAAAGCCACGTACGCATTTGTGCATATATCAGTCTGACTTGCTCATTTACAGGGACTTCTTTTGTTTTTGTTTTTTGTTTTTTGTTTTTATTTGAGTCAGTATCTGAGTTGGATTACATAGAACTCGCTGGATTCCTTCCGATCTTTGCCCTTTCTCTCTCATCCACATGCACGGTCATAAGACTCATAGAATGGACCATACTACACACATCTGGCCCTTTTTCTTTTTCTTCTTGCTCTTTGGCAGGCTGGGTAGTGACCCACTACAGGGTCTACAGCGGCTTGGCATACACAGGACAAAAAGATAATCCTCAAGTTCCATGTTGTAAGGTCATCTGAACTTTGGGTAACTGGGTTTACCAGCTCATTTTTCTTTTTCCTTTTTTGGATATATATTATATATCATATATGTATATATCGTCAAGTGTATATATCGTCCAGCTGGTTCTTCAACCCACAAAAAACAACTCCCAGCAATGAGGAGCTTCACACAATGTAGCAGAAAGAGAGGTGTTGGCTTGCAGCTAGCAATGACATTGAATGTTACAGCCTCATTTTTTTTCCCACTGCTCGATTTTGTCCACCCCCGGACTACCGAAGCGTTGTGGGGGGTGGGACCTGCTGGTGGTGGCAGCCTTATCCTCCCTAGTATTTTTCCCTGATACAGAGGCACTTGCTACGAGGCTCCAGGCATCGGCCACCCTAAGTCAAAGGCGCACAAGGATTTCCAGGCCAGCCCTAAGTGAATGAAGGTCATGGCGTGAGATACAGTTGGGCCCCAGTTTGGAGCCCGGCCCAGGTAACTACCCAGTAGCCTCTGCCGGGATACAGACTGGGCAGGTGCCTCAGTTGGGACTCAGGCTGGTAGGGACAGCCTACTGGAGGCCCAGACTTCGGCCATGCAAAGAACAAAAGGACACAGGCTGAGGTGTATCACAGATTGGCAGCGGGCAGTACAAGGTGACAGTGCTCTTGGTCCTTGGAGCGTGTGTTCAAGCCAGCACCCAGGGAGAAGGAAGCCGGCATAGTGGTGGCTGCCAGCATGCGCCTGCAATAGCTAGAGGCAGCACAGAGCAGGGACAAGGTGGTGGGTGGTCGGAATTGGTAAGGGAAGCAGAGTGGCAGTTGGGACTGGTGGAGACGTACCTGCGTATGGCTGAGGAGCCCCTATGTGATCAGACTCCTCAGTGGCATCTGGCAAGAGCAGAGTGGAGAGAGTCTGGGAGGGCGTAAGCTACCCTGTGTGTAGGCTGTGTAGGACAGTAGTGTAGGCAGACACGTCATATCTAGGGCTACTAATCTGTTGTTGTATTGATTGTTGGGAGTGCAAAGAGGGCTTTCATTATCCAGAGACTTCAGTCTTCAGTGTATTCTTGGGATTGCTGTGATTTCGGCTTTGTCATTCTGGTTTCATCTTGGCTTACGCATGATGGAATTCGATGAGCTCTTGCATGTCGAACTTTTTGTGTTCTCATATACTGGCCCTTTGCATTTTGGTATCGGAGCGGGTTCTGCGACACTCGCCATCACAGCCGGCGGGTCAGGTCTTGTGGTGCCGGCGGGTCTCCGCAGGCAGCGCGTTGACTTTTTCGCCAGCCTGGACACTCATCCGGTGGGTAGAGACTGGATGAGCGGAAGTTACCTGGAATATGTGGCCATATGGTGAGAGTATTATAATGTGCTTGCCACTGCTTGAGGCGGTACTGGCGTTGCATTGTCGGTGATTTCTGCGCATTGACTGGTTATCAAACATCATAAACAGTTGGTGAGATCATATGAGGTTGGGGCAGCATCAAGTATCCCTAACCTTTTGTACCCTCCATCATTCTTTGCACTGTGAGGAAGAGCGTTTTACTCAAGTGTCATCCCCTTGTGAAGTGTGAACGCCGGCCACCTTGAGAGTGAATCTTCTTCTGTCACATCTGGGAAAAGGGTGGTGCATGGGAAGTGCCCAAGGATGATGCGAAGCACATGATGTGTGAGAGGTTCACGCATGCATGCATTGATCACACCAAGCTTCAGCAAGCACTATAGAGACTCCCAATCGAGTGCCCGGCATCCTGTTGCAACGTTAAATAATTCTTGAGGGAAATCGTTTAAACTGGGGCGTAATGTTTCAACGGAAATTCATCCCCTAGTGGCACTGCGTAGGGGCTGAGTTCTAATCCCGTTGCTGGCACTTTCAACGGCCTGAGGAGGATGGCCAGGGCCAGTCAACGCTGGTAGCTCGCTGGGGTGAATTGTACCGCCTTGTAACCCGTGGCAATGCGGGAGCCTCAGGCCAGGTGGAAGTGCCTGCTCAGGTCCTGCTGCGGCTGGTTGGGACACACCCAATAAAAGAATTCTCAGGTTGAATTCTCAGTCAGAATCATCATAGCTTACATTCCTGGCTCGATTTCACTATACTTCAAGAGGCTTAAACTCTCAACATATCTGTCATAACAGAAGCTCGATAACCAATAATCATGACATAAAATCTACAATAACTTCCATAATGATCTGGAATTACCAGGGCCCGTCACCTGTGGATATATCTTAAGAGAAGTTAAGACTGCCACCTTTTTTAAGAGAAAAAATAATAAAATAATTCTTTGGGAAGTAGTCCTGTTGTGACTCTAAATAATTCCTGATTGACTTCAAGGGAAAGCCGTCCTGTTTGCAACCATAAGCAATTCTGCCAATTCTTGATTTGGTTGGCTTCCCACTGGTTTCTCTGTGCACTGGTGTGGGTCCGTTCCTCGTAAATCACACTTTGGTCACAACGGCAGTCATCAGCTATAAGGGGGTTTGGAGGGAACTGCATGAAGTGTGAGAAAGGAGGTGGATAATACCGTGGATTCCAATTGTGTACCCATTTGTACAATCCGGCGAATTCGCCAATTTCCACTCGTCATATATTCCCTACTTTTAGTGCTTATGGTGTTGCTTTACCAATTTTCCACTTGTCATATATTTCCTACTTTTAGTCTTTTAGTACTTACGGTGTCGCTTTTAATCAATTTCCACTCGTCATATCTTCCTCCTTTTAGCACTTATGGTGTTGCTTTGATCGGTTGGTAGGACAGAAAGAACCTGTTGCTCCTAGGGTGACACCACAGAGTCACAGACTAATTAGGAAGCTATCCAGACGGGTTAGCTCTCTGCACGGCCTTGTATAGAACTGATTAGAAGTGTAAACTGTAGCTGCTAGAGATGTGGAAGTAAGCATGTTACTGTCGTTCCTATTTTCCTGGCCAACTTGGGTCAACATTTTCATCATACTCCTTAACGAGTCCTTATCAATTCCTCACTGGTAGAGGTGGCATTAAGCGACGCTTGCGATGTTTGTAGTAGTCTCTGCCGTTAATGAGAAGTCATTGGCGCTCTGGAACCAGATCACAGATTTGGAGGTACCCAGTAAGGTTCTGACTGTTAGAAGATCATGAGGCAGAAATGCAGGCACAAAGAAGAGAAACCTGTACGCAAAGAAGAGCAATGTCAGGACTCAGTTCATCAAGTGTCCTTGTCACAGGCCCAAGGAACACACGTTCCTGTCAGGCAAGTGCAGTCAAGTGCGGCTGACCAGGGGGTAGCCCATTGGAATGAACTCAGAAGGAAGGCAGGGGTTGAGCTCAGGGAATTTGAACGAAAGGAGAAGGAACCTACAGGACTTCAAGCCTTATTAGCGGGATGAAGGCGGACAAGAGGAGGCGTTGAAGCTTGCAAGCCCGTAGTGGTCAGGATGAAAAGGATAAAATCATGACCAAGAATATATGGCACCTCCATGAGTCAGCACTTACTGGTGAAGGTAGCCCAGTTGGACGGGCGCTTGTGTTCAACAGGTTCCTGTGTGGCAAGACACAGGCAGCGGGATCGAGTCCTGGTTGGCTCGGTTGAGTGCATTGGCACTCACTAAAAATCTCGCGCTAGGAATCCACGATATTTTGGACTTCAGCACATTCACTTCCCCAGCCAGGTACCCCATGTGGGAACGGTCGCAAGCCTGTGTAGATGTTGTACGGGAGATCCCGCCTGTAGAGCGTCCTGATGGCTATGCTTACGACGTACACAGTTAGCAGAGGGGGGTCGCTGAGCGACTGGGTACCATTGGAGTCTCCCGGCTTGGTTGGAATGCCCCTGCTCTGCCCTGGGTGTGTCGTGAGAGTGTGATTGAAGCACTGGCCGCCATGATAGGGCCTGCCTATACCTCAGCCTGCACAGCCTTTTTTATTAAAAAAGTTTAAAAAGCAGGTATTAAAAAAAAAAAGGATAAGAATTTTAACAAAAATTAAACAAAATCAATTATGATCTGTATATGTGTGGAACCTGCCAGGCAGCCAAACACCGCCTCTTCAGCCCCCTTGGGGGGGGCCTAAAAGAGGGATGGAAAAGAGGCTCGGAGGTAGTGGTGGTTTAAACATTATTTAATTTTATTTTCGTTTTGCGTGGGTAAACATTCTTTCACACCACACCTGCGGCAAGAACAGAGTCTGCATCGTATGCATTGTGCCTACAACAACCTGTTCGGTTGGATACTGCGCCTACGGCATCAGTTCCCTTCAGCGGTTATCATCGGTAAGGATATGCTGCAAACGCAGAAGGGAGAATCGGTCCCACCCACTGCACCCAGCACGGGTGATGCAGTTGCCAACAATAAGCCTCCAGGGCCAAGTCCACGGATAGGTCGTCCAGCTGTTTCGCCACAGTAGTTTGTTCCTCTTTTCGGCATATGAGTCAATGCCAGGTGTCTCTTGCCCCCCAAGTGAAAGGCGACTGCAGGGCCATCTACACCTTGTGAATCAACCAAGACTTCAATGGTTCAGCTTGTTGCCTTCACTGGCAAAAAAAAAGGAGGAGAACAGTGAGAACTTGGATAATTGGTTGATGGCAGTACATGCATTCATTAGGATGAAAGATACACCAGTGGACAAGGAGGTGATAGCTGCGACATCGTTTTCGCAAGCGTCAATAACAAGTTGGCTAATAGGTAAACTAGCAGGATGGGGACAAGTCGGCGATGTGCCTGGATGGGCAAGGAACTACACATTACAAGAGTTTATATTTACCGAACCCTTTCAAGATAGGACAAGCGCACAAAAGGCCATAGACCATGATTGATCTGCAGCACCATATGCTCAGGTTACAGTGCAATTCAATTGGTGCGCGGACCATGCCAAAATACAGGATGAGCTCGCAACGCTGTGTGGCTTGCAGCCCTGGTTTTCTTCAAGAAGCCAAAAAGCTGTAAATTCCAAAGAGCATGTAACGATGACATTAACAAATCCAGCAAGTGCAGCAAAGCCGAGGACCGGTAGTGAATTTCCACACACACTAGATCAGAATGAGAGTTCTGTGTGTGTGTGTGTGTGTGTGTGTGTGTGTGTGTGAGAGAGAGAGAGAGAGAGAGAGANTGTTCCCAGCCGAAGCCGGGTAATAGCCCCAGTGTCTTAACATCTGTACAATTTCATACGGGATGCTGGGCCCGGTTCCTAGCACGTGTTGCTCCTGTCTCTTATACACATCTAGATGTGTATAAGAGACAGACAGAGTAGAGAGAGACAGAGGGATGAGAGAGTAGTGAGTTTATATACATACCAGGGAAAAGAGGAAAGAGGCTGACAATCTCGAAAAAAACACAGCCCACACCCCACATGTCCATCTTGTAGTTGTAGTAGCCATCCGTGAGCAAACATTCTGGTGCTCGATACCTGTCATTGTCCAAGTTCCAATGTTTACTCATAGCACTTCCTTTTGCCCCCTTCCCATCGTTTCTTGATCCGTTAAATTGAGACTTATGTCTCTTTCCTTCTCGCCTGTACCGTCAAATCAACAGTTTGGCTAAACATTCTCTATGAAAGGAAAAACAAAAAAAACATCTTTGACTCTTCACTTCCTACTTTAGCGACTCAAGACTCCAGCCATTAGATGTCCGAAGAGGAAAAAAAATGTTAAGCTTTCATCCGAGTGCTCCATATTAGCACAATTTAGCAGTTCTCTTGTCATCAGAGTCTTGGTCCGGCTCTCTTCCCTCTTCGTGCACTTCTTCTCATTTCAGGTTTACGGTTCCAACTTCCAACTTCCAACTTCCAAGTCATACGCATGAGTCGCTTTTCGACGTTTTCGTGTATGTCTGTTTCTGCAGTGCATGATGTGTATGTGTGTGTGAAGTGGTTTCCTGTGGCTGTGAAGTTGACATCTGAATGTAGTCCTGATCTTGGAGAGAGAGGGACTTGCTGTTTGGGGGGAAATGTGAACTTTATATAGATCGCCTGTGTGTCGGTGATCTCTTTGGAGTAGTATGGACCCTTCTCTTTTGGTTCGTAGCAACAGGTTTTTGCCGGTGCTCATAACTTCTTCTCAATGTGCCATAGCACCCTTCCACCATTTCCCAGCCCAGATCAATATCGTGTCTACTGTGACGCGGACACAGGGAGCACGCGGCACGTGTCACTTCGGGGGTGATGGGTTTGTGCTGATTGAGTCTTTTTTTTTTTTTTTTTGATCGAGTCTTTTGATTCCCCCCACTAGGTTATCCTTTGCCACTCAAAACAAATGTACAAGATAGAGAGGATCAGCTTGCCAATGTGCTGTCTCCCCCACCATCGACGCTCCCTATACAGGGGAGATTTGTCTCCTCACTAGAGTCAGTACGAAGCGGCCAACTGTGACCCCAGCGGGGAGTTCAGTGTGGTCCTTCATTGAGGCAATGCCCCCACAGAGCCCAAAGAGAGACCCATGGCACACGTCCTGCAGTCGTTACAGCTTGTGACAGAAAGTAAGGGAGCGCCAAAGAAGCTGCAGCCACCCCCAGCATTCAAGGGACAAAGGCATGAAGACGTGAAGATCTGGCGGCAAGGGGTCCAAGTTTCACCTGTTGTACTGTCAATTAGCAGAAGACCTGTGTAAATTAAGTTCATGGTCCTTTATTTGAAGGAGGCAGCTAAAGCTTGGGTGATGTCGCAGATCCGGACAGCAGGGGAGGTTGAAGACTACGCTCAAAAGAAACCATGGCAAGATTTTGCCAGTCGCTTGTGTGCCAGAATATACACCCATCGCTGCAGAGAGGGGACCGTGCATATGACAGATTATGAGAGTTGTCACAGCAGCCCTTTAGAGAGGACATGGCCAATCTGATTCAAGAGTTTGATAGCCTGTTGCACTCCACAGTTGGAGCTGAAGAAAAAGCCCATAATGCATTTTGTTCACGAGGGCTCTTCCTAGCCAACTGGGCCCCAAGCAGCCAAAGGACTCAGAGTCTCAGAGACATACAGGGTGATGACTGATGAAGCCTTGAAGCTGAAGCGAGCCCTCAAGGCCACAGGGGTGGGGGGAGAAGGTGGTTGGATGGATGAGGCAGTCGGGGGGAAGCAGAGGGCGTTGGACGAACAACGAGATGAGTGGGAGGGGGAAGGGGTGAGAGGCGGGTGGGGAGGAGGAGGAGGAAGAGGAGGGGACAAGGAAGGTGTTCTAGGACTTGTATGGGAGTGTTTTCTCTTCTTACGAACGTGTTATTTCACATATTTTGGCAACAGCCTTACATTCAAGGTGTTCTAGGACTTGTATGGGAGTGTTTTCTCTTCTTACGAACGTGTTATTTCACATATTTTGGCAACAGCCTTACATTCTAAGTGTCCATGTGACTTTTCAAGCACCAGCTTCTGTCATTGTTTAATTCGCGATCTCTAGGACTCGCGGATGAAGTTGGTTAAGCAACAGCCCACACATGAGAACATCTGCATGTTAATGGAAAACTCTCCTTAAGAAAGAACCCTACTGAATGTCAAAGGTTTCGAATTATACAGGGAGAGGCACATATGCATCCCGCGAGCAATGTGGCCGAGTAAAAGAAGCTAGGGAAAGTAGTTGAGGCGAAAGTTTGCACACATATAAGCAAAATTAACAAATGCATCCAGTCCAAAAGAGGAGGAGGATAGACAGAAGGGGAAAGGAACGGCAGGTCTCTTACCAACGCGTTGATATGTACTCTGTGTATGGCTGCTTGGAATAAATACCCCTGCAGCTCCCAAAGTCAGCCAACTGGTTCAATGGAGCACAGGTTGAGGATTTCCAGCCACCACAGGAAAGCTTACTGATCAGGACGTAGCTGATAAAAACTCCTTTGCCGTCAGTCAATCAGTGATGCTCAACCCCTACTGTCTTTTTCTTTGTTCTTTGTTCTTTTGAAAAAAAAATAGAAAGCTGTCTGTGCCTCATAGGGGGGACAGCTTTTTGTGGCCTACACTGTGTTCTCTTCTCTCAATATCGAAACAACCTCACAGGCTCACACTAGCTACCAGCTAAGCACCCAGGAATTCTGTTCTGTTGTTGTACTGTTTGTATAAGATGGACTCAGTTGGTAGGACCAGCAGCCTAGCTCAGTTGGTAGAGCACACAAGTGGCATTCAGGAGGTCATGGGTTCAATGCCCCACATCATCTATTTGACTGATCAGGACGTAGCTCGTAAAAATTCCTCTGCCATCAGTCAATCAGTGATGCTCAACCCCTGCTGTCTTGTTCTGTATTCTCCTCTCCTGATGGGCATATTCACATCTAGATCTGCCAATCTCTGCTCTGCATCTTCTCATTCTGTACATACTTGCCCATTTATGTGGGTACTCTCACATATCGCATCTCAAAGCCGCAACATCTTTACAGCATGAGATGTCAAACGAGTTTATGAGTCTTATGACTGCATTCTAACAGCCCTAATGCGACTCTGACCGCAGAGGCTCAAGTGCAATAGTGTACAATCATACTACAATGTACATCCACAGATTCCACAGAATCCACACCATATTCAGGTTCAGGTTCAAACCTTCAGGTCTTTGCAATAATGGATGCAAACAGCATTCTGGATAATACTATCATAATAGTGGATATTTTTCCGATATTCAATATTGTTATTATTATACATCTAAAGCAAGAGGAAAGGTATGTGTAAGTTTGTAGCACAATGCTGATGGAAGGAGCTATTGGTAGATGCAATAACGGATACGGACAACCTTCTTCCAGAGGTAATATGAAGTGTACGTGATTTCATACTGTGACGCTGATGTAAGCAGCTATTAGCAGTAGATATCATGCCCCTAAATGAGAAGGGGGAGAGGGTTTGGTTTGGCGTTGGCGGTAGAAGAGGGCAGAGGCTGTGTGGTGCAGATGGGTCTCTAGCATGTACCTTGAGGTTATCTTCCATAATCAAAATATTCTCTGGCTTGATATCGCGATGGAAGATGCCGTTTCTATGCACATGGTCCATAGCTGAAGCAACAAAGACGTTTTCATACGTAAGATTTCAGAAATCCATATCAACTTGCATCTTCGTCGGTTGACACTGTTTGATTACACATTTGATATCTTTCACTTGACTCTGCATCTTCATCACACCTCTTTTGGCTGTTTGAATGTTCTCGGTTTAGAATTCGTGAGAGTCACCAATCAAGAGGATTCGAGGAAAATGAATACTGCTGGCTTCACAATTAACGACCAAGTAGTAAGTACCCTACAACATTCAAGGCGTCTAGAAACCCATTATGCCCCTAAATGAGCGCACTGACGACTTTGCAAGTAACCATCAACAGGTACGGTCCAATCAATGTACATTATACAGTTGATTCTAGAAGTTCTTTTCCCGGAAATTGAGGCTCTGTCCAGTGATCCAATTCTGTTTTGTTCAGTTGCGCTAGCTTATTTCAATTTTCGTCACTTTCTAGTGCCCACTGGCACCCACCTTTCCGGGTTGTTTCCTTAGGGACCGATTCACTTGTTGGCTGAACGCAGAAACTCTTGAACTTTCGGCGATCATGCTTTTCACCTGATTTTTTGTTACTCGTGTCAACATTCTCACTTCTGATAGGGGATCAGGTAGTGTGAGGTATATGAGAAAAGAATATAGCTTAGTTAATATATATATATATATAAAAATGAACGGGAAGTTGGCAAAAGGACAGATGGTGGTAGAGAAAATGATACCGGTGGAACCGTGGCAGGTCCAGGAAAGGGGCAGATTAGTGGCACTGCAATGACTTGCTGATTTGACTGCTGGGTTTTGACTGTGAGGCTGTACAGTACAGCGATAGGGATAGACTTGTAATTTTTTTTGGCTGAGGGCTAACCGAGCGACCTGTCTGTAAGGAAAATCCGTGAGGGACATATCTGCAGATTTGGGAAGAATATACGCCCGTACTAACTAAAGATTTCCTACAGCACCCTGACTGCGAATAGCAGGCCCGGGCTACCCCTTAGGACGGACAGGCCCTATCGGCCTATGCCAATAGACGGTCTAATAGCCTATAGCCGGGTCGGGAGAGGCCCTGGAGGCTGAAACTAAAGAGGTACCGGTCGGTCCAGTCGGTCAGGTCTAGGTCGTGTCTACGCTAGTGTAGTCTACTAATAGTTTGTGGAAGTCTGTTAGGGACTTTTGGCAGTTTCATTTTTCGTTGGATACGGAAGTTGAGCCAAGGAAGGGAGAAAGGGACGATTGACTGCGGGCGGCATCCTGAGTCCCTCGTGGTGGAAGACAGCCCTAGCCAGACCTGTGGGGGCTGCCATAGCTGGGGCGCCCTCCACGCACTCAACCCTGAAGGTGCTTGCGATTGTCTGGGCTATTAGGAGGCTCTGCGGAGCGGTTTGTGGGTGAACTGCTTCTGCTGCTACTTCTTCTGTGATCGCTGTGGCAGGAACAGTGGCGCTGCAGCCATAGCTGCAGCTTTGTCGTCAGAGACTCTTCATCGGCATCAGGAACCTGAGCGCTGGTCCTCTTCTTCATCAGGCTGGTTGTCGGTTTCTGAGTGGCGCTACTAACAGGGTGTAGGAGTTAGGGTGGAGCGTGAGTTTCAGTGGTGGCGAGATACTGGGAGAGAACTCTGTAACGTACAGTCTTAATATTGGCTCAAGCTTAGTTAAGCTCTGTTGTTATCCTCGAAGTGTCATCTTATGATTGATTGTTGGGAGTGTCGTCAGAGAGAGAGAAACACTCTGTGTTGTCTCCACACTCTGTGCACAATTGTTTCCGCTGCTTACCTTGTCTGTGTGCAGTGTGTACTCTGCCTCCTCTCCCCTTCTTCTTATGCATGTATGGGCATGTGTGGGATCGTCTGGGTGTGAGTGTTGATGAAAGTCGACCGACAACCAGTTCATAACAGCACCATCTCTCTCCAACCTGTTCCGTTGGCTCAACTTGGCTGTAAAAAACAAGAGGGCATGGAGGGTGAGAGGGTTCTTGAGAGAGGAGAACTGGAATGTCTTCTCCAAGGGTGAACAAATTGAAAACCTCCCCATTGACCCAGAAGACGAAAAAAGGGAAAAGAATCCACCATGGACCTGTTCACAAAAAATGAAGGTCAAGACTACCTATACAATGCCGTTTAAAAAGAAAATTTTGGTGGATCAGGTTCAAACCACCAGTACTTCCTAACGTTGTGCCCGTTAACAAGCCACGATCTTCGGAAACGTACGGGGAGCACCCAAATTCATCCGACTAGAAACGTTACTCTATTTTTTTTCCACCGCCGATAGCTGGGCCAAGTACTGGTGGTTTAGAACTGGTGGGGAAAGCACCTGAAACTGGATAAAACCTGCCTTCGGGGAATCCGCTTCTTCACACACTATTAAAAGGGCCTTTACCTGATGTAGGCATCAGGCCTTGTAAAAGTAAAGCAGCACGGGCCTTGTAAAAGTAAAGCATTGTGAAAAGGTATCTCGCCAGGGCTCAGAAACGTGAAAGCAGGTCAAAGGTCAAGTTCTCTATCAACAGGTACATCTAAATCTAAGGCAAAGGGCATTGTCAAAAGACTTACCTGTTCACCAGGAGATGTGTATGTCATGTCTGTTCGGGTAAGAGTGTGTCTGTACGTGCAGGCAGTGTACCTGTTCGTGCCAAGGAAAGTGTCTGTTCAAGCAGTAAATGTGTCTGTACACATCTGCGTGAGATGGTCCCCAGGACCCATGCACTATAAAAACAAACCAGCAAAGGCATCAGCCCTTCAACGGAAGCTAACGCACAGATGCTTATCTACGAGGTACTGGTTGATTGACCACACACACCTTGAGCAAAAGGGTATTCTACTGGCCTGGAGCAAATGCTGCCAAGTGGAGGTAGACGTTGCAACACCTCAGGGGGTTCATCTGCAATTTGCTGCTTGGCCTGAGTTTGATGTTTCCCCACTGAGGCCAGCCACAAAGTTCTTGGACCCCTTTCCACTGCCGGACAATATTATAGTTGAACTCTTGTGGTTTGCGGGAGGAGAATAGGACCAAGGATATCATATGAATGAGGAAGCCAGCTAGGGGTTCAATGTGAAATCTGGCGGCTACAGCTATAAGCCGAAGAGGCCAGCACCCCTCTACAGAACCTGATCTTATCAGCTGAATGATCACACCTGTCAAACACATCAAAAGTCAGTAATTTTTCATGTAAATACTGGGACGCGGGACCCGTTTTCCAGCAGGTGCTGCCCCCCACCAATAGATTGGAGCTATCCCTACTCCAACCCTGAATCTAGGTGTTTCTCTCACCACCACCTGAATAGAGGGGATGCGGCGTGATGTTCTTTAAACCACCACTGCCTCTCAGCCGCGAAGTCTCAAGTCGTGAATATAAACTATACTGCATTCTTTGGAGGCCAGGTGCCTCAGGACCAGAATCGCTGGTGGTGCGTGTCAAAACAAAAGGAAAACGGTCACGCTGGCGATTCGGCAAAGCTTGGTGTGCAGTTCTACTCCACCTCGACAAAACGAGGCTTGGAGGTAGTGGTGTCCTCTTTTCCAGCAGGTGACGCTCCCCGCCAATAGATCAGAGCTAGCTATCACAGGGCTCTACTTGTGTGGGTTGCTCAAAGCACCCCCAACAGTAACCTCGGTAGCTGAGTTTTCTTTAAAAAAAGAAAAGAAATCACACGTATCTAGGTGAAGAATGGTGGGTCATACGGGACAAGGTGCTGAAATATGCACCAGCCCTCGTACCTAGGTACAAAAAAGTTTGATCAAGTACTAAGAAAGGGATGAAGCAGATCGAAGGGATCCTTTTTTTTTTTCCATCCCGATTTCCGTCCGCCGCTCAGAGCATCCCCTGGCCCTTGCATGACACACCATTGGGAAGGCTCCAATCTACTGATAGGGATGTGCTGGGAATCCAGCCCGGCATGCCACATAACATTTGTTCGTCCCATTGAAGTTCCTGTAGACTGAGCCAGTGCAGCATTCATTGCCCTGATGAAATCAGGGGATTAGCTGCCAGTGCCCTCCCTGTGAGGAAAACAGAAACCCCTGCCTCTTCAGCCTGCTGTAGGTCCGCCAGCCAGATAGAAAAATAATTCCTTGCAGGGCCTTCTGTGCTGTCTTGAAGTTGCTCACCATCTTCTGTAACAGGCCAGGTCCACCAAACGATTACCTCATCATATACACACTTTCATCATGTCCGTCCATGCAAGTCTGAACTAGTGCCTGCTGGAGGAAAGAGGCCTGGGAATTCCTTTGCTGGTCCTAAAGGAAATGTCATGTCTATTTCCATCCAGTCCATGGCTGCATCCCTTGGGTCCTCAGCACATCCATAGAGGAATTTGAAGTTTGAACCCAAGTGGATGGTAATGTGAGGCAACAAGGAATTGGAATGGCGTTCTGAGTGACAGTAGCCCCTAAACTAAGGGCAGAGGAAAAGCTGGCTCAGCAGGACTGGGAAGGACGAGGCTGGGCTCGTTAGGGTACTGGCCCAGGCAGTCTGGGACCCAGTTGGCCACAGCTCTGGGAAATCTTCAGAAGCCCAGTCCTACCGGTCTAGTTGAGAACCCGACCTAGCCAGAAAAGAAGAGCCTGTGGCATCATTTCAGGCATTTGGGCTGCACGCTGCCACTGTGCTGTTTGAAAGTGTTCAGGGTGCACCTGCAGTGGAGGAAGCCACACACTGTATAGCAAACATGACAACACATGCACAGAGAGAGAGAGAGAGAGAGAGAGAGAGAGAGAGAGAGAGAGAGAGAGAGAGAGAGAGAGAGAGAGAGAGAGAGAGNAGAGAGAGAGAGAGAGAGAGAGAGAGAGAGAGAGAGAGAGAGAGAGAGAGAGAGAGAGAGAGAGAGAGTCTGTTGGTCGAGGCCATACTAGAAACCATGCAAGTTCCTCACTGAACTAGAAGAACCACACTCTATGGTTGTTCTAAATACACACCCTCAGATGACATCTGATTTTCCCTCAGCTTGTCAGAGCCACATGTTTCTGAGTGTCTTGATTGAGTGACGCATACCTTTCATGAGCTGGTACATATAGTTTTTGGTCTTCTCTTCAGCAACATAATGCCTCCTTCCCCTAATGAGCTCATATATGTTCATATCCATCAACTCAAACACAAGTGCTAGCCTGCCAGTGGGTTGATCACTGATGCAAGGAGAAGGTGCAGAATTAGCACAAACATCAACAAGGACTTAAAAGTCCAACCAGTGCATCTTTGCTTACTTGAAAAGGATAGACAACACTTAACATAATGAAGAGAGCGTAACCTGGCAAGTCCAACCAGTGCATCTTTGCTTACTTGAAACACTTTGCATGGTGAAGAGAGCGTAACCTGTTAGAGATAACTTGCTCAGAAACTGTCCACAAGTGCCACAAACTCCATTAACATCACTGCAAGTGCACTAGAATTGCAATCCAAGACGATCAATGAAAGGGGATGGCGGCTGCAGGGCTATATATTATGCAGGATTTGTGCTACAATTGTATTTGCCTACTTGGTAAACACACAAGCAGAGAATTCCCTTGAATAACTCCTCGGATATTGCCGTCTGCCACCATGCAAACTTGATTACAACGGTTGAGAAAGAGGAAAGGAAAATTGACCACGCTTCTTGCTACCGTGTTCTTAAACCACCAGTGCACCTGGGCCTGGAGGTGCCTTACTGCGCGCCAAGCTTTTCCAAACCGCCAGCGGCGCACTTTTTTTCTTTTTTGGCTGGCAGCGCCAGCCATTGTGGTCCGGTAGGCGGAGTCTCCACAATTTTCGTAGGTGACGAGTTTCTTTTTCAGCAAGGCTGGGGCCATGTACTGGCGGTTTGAGGCTTACACACGGGAACTGCTTTGGCTGGGTTCAGTTTGATTTCTGATGAATGGGCCCATTTCCTTCTTTTCTTTTTTTTGCAACATCATCCGGTCATGCTAGCAGGGGTGGTACGCGCAGCCTCTGCTAGCATCTCCGTGTACTGATGGCTGCAATCGATTGGTGGGGAGCTGCATCTGCTGGAAATCGGGTCCAGCATCCCTTATACAAGTTACATGGTGATCAAGAGTGAAGCTGGGCCCACGGCTATGCCGTGTCTCCCTCTTCAGCCTTTTGACCGGCCGCCTGTTAAAGCACCAGTACATGGCCCCAGCCAAGTTGAGGAGTCTGATTGAGCCTTTCCTAAAATTTAGGTAGCTCACACACCATCGATGGAATAAATCGATGGCAGGCAGCCTCTGGAAGGGGCCTCCAGCCGATGGCTGGCATGTACTGGTGGTTTGAACATGACTTTTCTAGCGGAGTCTAGTATTGCTGCCGTACTGCCTCGGCTGATTACGAGTCCGAGGCTTTGAGTCCGTACCATTGCGGGTCTACCAGTGCTCTCTCTGAGGGTGGGAACGTGTCAGGGAACTCCTACGGGCCTCTCATTGTGATCCCGGGATCGATTTGCAACCAATCGTGAAACTTCAGCTTGCAGCCCTTTTCGGGAGTAGTTTCCTCCCCATCCTTCCCCGCCCATTCCGCATTTGCCACCCAGCCCCCTTTTTTCCCCGCCATGCCAGTCTGTACTAAGAGAGTTTAGTTCTTTCAAGATGTCCCTTTTCAATGAGATGAAGTATAGTTTATCCTGCGTCCTTTGCCATTGTGCTAGCAGTTCTCTGTGTATAAATTGACGAACAGTTTCTGAGACTTCCTCCCCTGCCACCCTTACTCCATGTAAGGCGTGGACGCGGCGTTTCCACCACAGTCCCCATAGGACCACCGTCGGCCCGTTGGAGAACAGGTTCACTGCGAAGGGAGATAACTGTGGCTGGTGCGCCATGTTCTGAGGAGGATCGCCTGCCAGTCCCATGGCAGTCAATCCCTGTTCCTAATTGTCCCCAAATCCTGTCCGACCATCACCACGTAAGAACCAACCCCTGGGCATTGCAGGAAGATGTGCTCGATGGTCTCTGAAATCCTACGGCTGGGCTATCCTTCCTGACAGAATTTGCACCAAGGCAGGGCGAGTCCCTTCTGTTCTGGATGGGAATGATCTATGAACCAGTCATTTGTGGGCAACCACCTGTGGACTGGTTGTCATCGCAGCAAGGCGAACTTGGCTGACCCTTCCTTCATTCCTCGGAACCAAGTGATATGGCGGAGACATATTCTGCTAATGTTGAGGTGTCTCGCCCACCGGTCCTTGATGATATCCTGCACATTCGCCTTAGGTCTGAGCATTCGGTTGGTGGGGACGCTGCTAGCAGGCTCCCTTACTATAGTTCTGCTGCCTGTGTGGTAGCTAGCTAAGTACCATTGCCCATACCATTGAAGATCTACCAAAGCTTTCTCTGATGGTGGGGACATAGCTTGAAATGCCTCCGGGGGCTTCCTTGAGAGCCCTGTGTCTATCTGCAACAAATCATGGAATTTGAGAGTACAGTCCTTCCTTTTTTTTTTTTTTTTTTTTTTTT